AAGAAAAGCCTTGAATGAACTAAATGTGCGCACGACGTAAGTTGATACAAGTGGAGCCCAATTTAAATATGGAACGATTGAAACGTTCATATTATCAGGAATAAGGGCGTTTTCCTCGCCCTTTATAATTTTATCCACATCCCTTATTGTCTCCCCGCCTACGTTAGCTGAGAAAACGGCTTTGAATTTTTCCAACACCAATTTGGCAAGAGGTCCCTGCGCTTCTATAAGCCACATGGGCATGTGTATATTTTTTAATCTTAAAAAAAAAATTGTAAATGCTATAATCGATTTTTTAAAGGTAGAAAAGGTAAGAAAATGCAAATATCTTAAAAAAGGCAAAAAAAAGGCAAATATCTTAAAATCAGGGTGTTAGATTTGTTTATATAATGCAATTTTTATTAAGTAAACTTCAAGTCGAAATACATTACAGCCAACAATACAACGATCGTAAAAAGTTTATTCAGTTCTAGCTCTAACCACTTAAGAAAACCTTTGTACTCGGGATCAATCGTGTGACATATGTACATATGTACTAACATACAACCGCGATCGACAAGCCAATCAGCGACTACCAGCGCATCAAAAAGCTCGCACGAAGAGTATGCACAAAGCGTGGACAACGATGACAAGTGCACTCTCGTCACATATGTTTATTGGGGTTGCTGTGCAGTTGAAGCCTCTGAGTTGCATTTATCTTTAACATTCCGCCCACCTCGTCCATCTTGTGCGACGACATGTTCAGGGGAGAACCGCCCACCGTGTGAATCAATGTCAGGATCGATTGGCAAGGCTACCAGCTTGGAAATGGCTGGCTTCAATGTTGACGTTGCAGTACGTATAGTGGCCACCCTCACAATCCCATCATTTCCTGGGTGTATGTCCACAACTCGACCGAGGGGCCACTGCAAAGGGGGAGCGCGTTCATCGCGAAGTAAAACTAAATCGCTAATTTTCAAGTTCTGGTGGGTCTGTTTCCGTTTGTAGCTCATTTGTAAATGTGGCAGATACTCATTGCTCCAACGTTTCCAAACATCCTGCTGTATTTGCTGCAACAGTTTCCAACGCTTGAGTCGATTGGTGCTGACTTCGAGTAGGTTGGGTTCCGGTATTGCGATAAGTGGACCGCCCACTAAAAAGTGGCCGGGAGTGAGGGCAGTTAAGTCACTGGGGTCTTCCGTCAAGGCACTTAATGGCCTTGAGTTTAGCGCTGCCTCCACTTGCTTGAGTACAGTGAAAAACTCTTCAAAAGTTAGTGTTGCACGTCCGATGACGCGTTTTAAATGGTGCTATGCCCCTTTTATTCCGGCTTCCCATATGCCGCCGAAATTTGGAGAGCCTGGCGGTATGAAATGCCAGGTAATACCCCTGACTGATGCAAATCGAGCTGCCGCTTCCAACTGCTGTTTGCAGGCTGCAAGGTCAGCCTATAGTTCTGAATTCGCACCCACAAATGTAGAAGCACAATCGCTGTATATATGAGAGCTGTATCCTCTTTGTGAAACAAACCGCCTCAGCGCAGCCAGGAAGGCATCTGTGCTTAGGTCGCTGACGAGTTCTAAGTGAGCAGCACGAGTAACAAAACAGACAAATAGTGCGATGTACCCTTTATAGCTCCGATAACCTCTACCTTTTGTAGTGCGAATATAGTAAGGTCCACCGTAGTCGATACCGCAATAATCAAACGGCTTAGCAGGATTGCAGCGATGTGAGGGAAGGTTTCCCATTAATTGCATGAGTGTTGCGGGGTTTTGCCTGAAACATTTTACACATCTATGAATATGTTGCTTAACAGCTGGCCGAGCTTTGATAATCCAATAACGCTGTCTTAAAAAGTTGAGAGTCGCCTGAGTACCTCCATGCAACGTGGATTCATGAGCGTGCGCAATTAACAGCTTGCTCAGTGCTCCATCTTGTGGCAGAATTATTGGAGAACGTTCACACGCAGAAAGAAATCGTGCATTCTGCAGTCGTCCATTTAGTCGAATGATACCATCTTCATCAATGACCGGGTTAAACTGGAGAAGTTTGCTCTTCATGCTGATCGGCTTATTCGTGCGAAGACAAGAAAGTTCATTATTAAAATGTGTGTGTTGAACGTACCTGAGCCACAGCTTCAAAGCTTCTGTTCGTTCTCCTGCAGAACACCATGGAGTCGTTTCGTGGGTTTTTTTCATCACCGCCGCTATGAACCGTTGCATAAACGCGGTAACTGCTAACAATTTGTTAAGGTCTGAGTACTTAGAAAGGAGCGTGGCCAGAACCGACGGAGGCATTGTAGCCAACGACACCACAGTTGCTTCAGTCCTGGCTGGCCCGATGGAAGGTTGTGTGGGCCATTGATGAGAGTGACAACGAAGCCATTGCGGTCTGTCCCACCAAATAGAAAGCTCCTTAAGTTGCGATGGCATAAATCCCCGAGATGCTGCGTCCGCAGGGTTACTGGCGGTTGGTACATATTTCCAAGAGTCAACAGATGTGATTGCCTGGATTTTACTTATGCGATTACTGACATATTGTTTGTATTTTCCAGGATTTGATCGGATCCAGCTGAGAACTGTTTTTGAATCAGACCAACAGTATGTTTGAAGGTATGGTAGTTGAAGTGTTTCCGAAAGCTTGGTCGCAAGCTGGGCTGCCAGCAGAGCTCCATTTAATTCCAAACAGGGAATTGTTATTTTCTTCAAGGGGGCGATTTTTGTCTTCGCAGCCAAAATGGCAACATGTACGTTTCTCGGCGCTGTGTCGAACCTGAGATATGCTACCGCAGCATATGCTATGGCGGACGCATCGGAAAAGACATGCAGTTGGTAACCTCTATAGTTAGGTTCTACACCGAGCCACCTTGGAATTCTAAGACGCTCAACTTCACCTAGCTCCTTTCGAAACCGTTGCCATTCTTGCTGAAGTGGTTCGGGAATTGGGTCATCCCAGTTTAAACCGGCCACCCACAACTTCTGACACATAGCTTTTCCAGTTACAGTTATCGGCGCTAGTAACCCTGGAGGATCGTAAATTTTACCGATGTCTGATAATTGCTGCCGTTTGGGTTGTTAATGGACTCAAGCTAACCTTATATGTCAAAGAGTCTGAATCACAGAGCCAATAAATGCCAAGAGCTTTAGTTGTACGGTCCAGGTTGAGGTTGCAACAAATAGTATTCTCTTTGTCATCTGCACTTAACCCCTGCATGAAGTCTTCAGCGTTTGAGCTCCACTTTCGTAGGACGAAACCACCTCTTTGGAGTAACTGTCGCAGTTGGTACTGGATTTCCAAAGCAGCATCGACGGAGTCAGCTCCATGCAAACAGTCGTCTACGTAAAATGATTCTCGCAAGACCTTAGACGCCTCAGGATAAGTTGACTCTTCATCATCAGCTAATGTTTGCAGCACTTTAATTGCAAGATATGGTGAGCAATTTAAACCGTACGTGACTGTTAGCAATCGATAGGCTGCTGGCTCTCCTTCTGTACCTCTCCATATAATACGCTGCATGTCAGCGTCATCACGGCTGACCAGAATCTGCCGATAACACTTTTCTATATCTGCCATGAAACCAATGCGGTGAAGCCGCCATCGAATAATTATTTGGCTTAAATCGCTTTGCAGTTTTGGGCCAACATGAAGACAGTCGTTTAGTGAGATGTTTTCTATAGTTTTACGGGATGCATTGAAAACTGTGCGCATTTTGGTGGTTGAGCTCGATTCCTTGTACACCCCATGATGCGGAATATAGCAAACAGTTCTCGGCTCCTCGTTTTCAATTACCTTCTCCATGTGCCCTAAAGCCAGGTACTCTGTCATGAACGTGGTGTACAAATGATCCATTTCAGGGTCATTTCGAAGCCTAGCTTGTTGAGACCGAAACAATTTAATTGCGTCAGCTTTCGAGTTGGATAATTTTGTAAGATCACAATCGGCTTTAAACGGATACCGAATTTGATACCGCCCTGAGCTAGTTCGCTGTACAGTGTCTTTAAAAAACTCTTCGCAGAATAATTCGTCTTGTGTCATTTTAGATGGAGGTAGTATCTCATCAAATTCATGAAATTTCCACATCTGCTGAACTAAGCTGCTCAGGTCATCAGTGGTTGTTGCCGTGAAATGTGTTGTACATAGTTGGGGAGATGCAGAGCAGGGTATGCGTCCGTAGATAACCCAGCCAAGATACGTATTTTGTGCTATGGCCGAACCGCAGGCAGTGTGCTTGATCCCACCTTTTACTAAGAGACCGTAGAGGTCTGCGCCAATGATGACGTCAATTGAGCAAGGCTCGTAGAAATTAGGATCTGCTAGTGTGAGATCTAGAAGTTCGATATAGGGCTTTGGATTGACTCTCTTCAAAGGTAGGAGATTTCCCAACCTTGGTAGGATGAGCGCAGAACAATTGACACTAAACTCTGGGTCTGTAAATGAACGTAGAGTGTATGTGACTATACCCTTTGAGTCACCAACGCTGTGACCGCCAAGACCGGTGATAGGAATTTGCAACCGGTTCCTACGAAGTCTTAATTGTTGAGCGGCATACTCGCTTATGAAGGATGCTTGCGAACCATTGTCGAGTAATGCTCGAAGTTTTATGTACTGTCCAGTCGAGGACTGCGCTTTAATATAAGCCGTAGCCAGCAAAACAGCTGGAAGGCAGGTTTCAGCATAGCTCGTAAGTCGGTTAACGCTGTGGTCTGGACACGTATGAAGTGCAGCGACGCTACTACGTTGAAGCGATAAGCTATCGTGAAGAAGTGTGTGGTTCTTCTGCGAACACCTCAGGCAGGTGTATGAGGATTGACACTCGTTTGTAGAGTGATTTGCTTTTAGGCAATTTTGACATAGTTTGAACTTTAAAGTTAATTCAAGCTTTGTTGCTGGTTCTTTCCTTTTAAACTCAGCGCAATACATTAACGCATGCTTACCTGAGCAACATAGGCAACGACCTAAATTGGTCTGATGACTGCGAATGGAAGTCAGAGCTGTTGACTTATTATTAGATGACGGTTCTTTAGTTTTGGGTTTGGAAGCCGACGAAGCTGCTTCTATGCCCTGAATACGTTTTTCCAAAAACTGCACCAGAGTTGTATATTCTGGTAACACATTCGGAGATTCCAAAGACATTTCCCACTCGTTTACTGTCGCTGGGTCTAACTTCTCGGTTACAAGTAGAACAAGCCAGTCATCCCAGTGTTCTGTTGGCCGTCCTAGTTGCTTTAATGCGCGGACTGATTCTGTGGTAGTATCCAAAAGTTTTCGCATGACGCTATCTGACTCATTGGTTATCGCCGGAAGTTTCGTAATATTGCGCAGATAAGACTTGACAAGGCGTCGCTTATTGTCATAACGTTGTTGGAGCATATCCCAGGCTATAGCAAAATTGTTTTCCTGGATACTAATACTGCGAAGAAGAGTTTCGGCTTCACCTAGTAAACTGCCTTTTAAGTAATGCAGACGTTGTACATCAGACAAACAAGCTTCATTTATAACGCATGTTGTAAACATATCTTTAAAACTTAACCATTTTTGAAACGAGCCATCGAATTTTGGCAGAATAATCTTCGGAAGCTTTGACGCTGATGTATTTGTAGAACCACCGCATGTATGATTGAGTATGGTTGCTGGATGATTATCACTACCATGATTGTCAAATTCTTCGATTTCATCATGTATTTCACCTAGTGCTTCGCAGTATGCCGATTCTATTGTTGCCAAACGAGCTTCACTTAATGTCGTCTTAAC